ATTTGTTGCTCTGTGCAAATTTATTATAAATATGGTTTTTCATTTTGTTGATAAATATCGGTATTTTTATATGTGGGCCATCTCTCCTATAGTGTTTAGTAGAGATGACCATATCATAGAAGGTAAGATGCCCATATAAAATTTAAAGACAATAATGAGTTTTATAAGAATACTCGTGAAATACCTATGAGACTTTATTATTACATATAACAGAAAAAAAGCTAAAAACTCAATAGCCAATCCTTTTGCCAAAAAAGTAACTTACATTAAAAAACTAACTATACTAAGTGACACATAAATCCGAACACCCAGTTTAAATGGTTTTATTTTAATAAAATTTAGTATAAGTACTTAATGAAGCATAATAAGTAAATGATAAAAAATTCAAAATGATTGCACTGCTTTAAAGCCCTTTGACCTTTAATAATGTGCGGATGCACCCTGATGTGCTACGCATTCTCCAACGCGCCCTAGGCATGCTTCTGATCAGGTGGTCAATGTCCTCCTGTGGTATCTCATTCCAGGCAACCACCAACTCCTCTCGAAGTGCTTCTAGAGTCTGAGGAGGACGTTGCAAATTGAGCAATCTCCTACCCATCATATCCCACACGTGCTCAATTGGGGATAAGTCGAAGATCTTGGTGGCCATGGTAACAATGTGACATCATTATGTTGAAAGAAGTCTATTGTGACTCTTGCAACATGTGGTCGGGCATTATCTTGTTTGAAAGTTGGATCTGCCAGGGTGTCAAGATAGGGTAAAAGATGGGGTTCTAGGACTTCGTGAATATAACGCTTCGCGTTCATGTTACCTCTGATGAAGATTAAAGGTGACCTGGAACCATAAGCTATAGCACCCCAAACCATAACTCCAACAGTGTGATGAAACATGTATTTCAACAAAAAACTGTGGATTCCTCCTTTCACCACGGCGCCTTCTAACCCTGGCACGACCATCGTGCATGCCTAAACAAATCGAGACTCGTCACTAAAGACAATACTGTTCCATTCCTGATCCCAGAGTGACCGTTGTCTGCACCACTCAAGGCGATTACGTCGGTGTTCTCGAGTTAAAGGGAGGACCAGTGTGGCCGGTATGAAAACAAGTCAAAACTTCTCAATCGTCGGTAAACACTTCGCATGCCAATAGGTCTTCCGTGTTCTGCAAACCATCATTTGCAATGGGCCTGGTAGTGGAGAAACGGTCCCTTAAGGCCAATAATCTTAGGCGGCGATCTTCACGGTCTGTTGTTCTACGGCGGCGTCCAGTGCCCCTTGCTCTTTGCGTACGGCCTTCTCGAAGCCATGCCTGACAACACCTAACCACAGTGTCTACACTTCTTTGCACTCTAACTGCAATTGCCCGAAAAGAAAGTCCAGCTTCCCGAAGTCCCACTATACGGCCCCTATCAAACTCACTAAGTTGACGAAATCGTACAGGTCTCCGTACTCTAGGCATCGTAACCGATCGTAAAGGATGTCAAGAACCAAAATCCGCCACGTTGATTCTTTACTGCGGCTGAAATATTCATTTTTAGAGCGTTAGTGAATTAAAAAAAAAGCAGTATAAAAACCGGAATGTCCAACTGATAAGGCTGAAAATTTTTTCACTTGTTATTTACAGTAAGATAAATACATTCACCAACTTTTATTAAAATAAAACCATTTAAACTGGGTGTTCGGATTTATATGTCACTTAGTATAACTTAGTGAATTAACTATAAACCACTACAAAAAAAGAACAAAACAACATATTTTTTATAAAAAACATGGTAATAGTTCAAGAACAATATTATATATATATATATATATATATATATATATATATATATATATTTAACAGTATTCATTGCAGAATTCAGTTGCTCCTCGGTACATTTGGCGCTCTCCAATGATTTTCTTTTATAAATATGTGGCATCTAAAATGAATACAAATGATCTACGATGGACATCTTACATAGGAAATAAGTGGGCCATCTCTCCTTTTCTTCGAGGAAAGATGACCATAGCATGATTTAGATTTTATATACGTTAATTCGCGTAAAAACGCTTAGGCAACACAAAAACACACCACACATGGTAAAATAAACACCAGAGGGGTTTAAATTCCAATAAAATTTTATGAAATTTGGCTAGTGGAAAATTGTATTCAAAAACTATTGAACCCATGTAAACAGTAATTTTAAAATAACTTGCCTTTAAACTTAGTTAATTGACTCAGAGTTTCTAGTATAGCACGATCACACAACAGTACATTACTCCTTATTGAAAAAAACGCCCTCTAATAACTATTTAGGAAAATATCGAGTTGGGCCATCTCTCCTCTATGGCCATATACCTAACCTCGATTCACCCTATATCTTTATCATATATGAGAATATGTGGGGCTCTGGAGTTCGAAGCTTTATCTGAAATCTGAGTACATACACAAAACATAGAAAACATCTGGATCTACCTCACAATAGGGTTATTGATCTATTTTACATTTTACGTTTAAAATATTTCTACTGGATAGTTCAAAACTCTGACTGCATTCATCAAATATGGTCATAACCATTAAAAATCAGAATCTTGGATTTTTCTAGTCATCTGTACCCCAGTTCCTTCTTCATATAACACATTATATTTTTTGTCGCAGCAATAACAACTTTATTAGACCCGAGTCGGCCTGAAAATAACTGTAGAAAAGATGAATGAATCCAAACGAGGTAGACTTCAAAAATGTTATGCGTGGAATCGTGTTCATCGTATCTGTTTTTGAGGATTGTTATATCGACCTATATATATATATATATGGATAAAACATACACGTATAGAAATTTATGAAATTTAGCAGCTTCAAGAAATAATATTCAGTAAAGTTGGTTAGAACATGAACACATTCAGTGGTCATTACTTTCTCACTTATTCCTGAAAACGTCAACAATATATTTGTGACGTACCTTTGGTGAAGTTCTAACTTAGGATTCTGGATTTTGTCGGCAACTCCTGCAGGAATGGTTATTGATTCATCAGTGGTTAGTATCGTACAATACTTTTGTCATCATGTAGACACGTTTTGAAGATTTATTATTACTAGGGCATATTGAGTTGCCCTCCTTGACCACATCTTTTGTTTTCTTAGATCATCCTTGGGTTACCTCCCAAAATTGCTTGACTTACTGTACTGCTATGATAGCACAGACTGCTGTTAATCTGAAACTGAAAAAAAGGAGTCTCAAGGTTGGACCTTCTAATTTTGTTTACCAAATGGCCAGAAACGGTTATTTCATGTTCACAGCTCTTGCAAATGATTTTCATCACATAAAGAGAAGGCTAACTAAAAGGAATCACTGATGTTAAAACACTAAGCAAGATAGTATGTATAGCTTAGCCACCACCTCTCAATTTTCCCCCTAACTTTTTTTTCAAAAATGATCACGATTCTCTGAAAAGTCAAAAAATAAAGTTCGAGCGATTTTATTATTTCCGCTTTAGGCCTTTTTCTACACCGGCACGATTTCAAGAACTACAAAGCTTTTTCGTCCAGGTTCAAAGCGGTTCAAAGATTTGCAATTCTGAGAAGACACGGAGCGGAAAGCCGCTAATGTTACAGTTTCTGATTGGGTATCTCTAGATTTTGAAAAGTTAATTGTAGAATGGGATTTTACAGAATATCTTTCAAATGATTTCACTGAAATTGTTCATGTGAGCTAAAATTAATAAAAAACTATTTGCGGGCAACAATGACCCAATCGCGGCGTAGCAATCTTGGTATATTAGCCATCCAACATGAGGCAATACAAAATATAAATTTTGATGGAGCTATTTCTGAGTTTGCAGCTGTCATAGCTAGAAAGAAGAGATTTTAATTGTAAGTAAAAATATTTTTTGTCTTAGTTTTTATTGTGTTTTATTTGTTAAATATTTTAAATATAAATATTAAATGATCCATTATACATCGTATAAAATTTATTGGTTCTGACTTTCGGTGGGGTGACACCACCAACTTGTGCACCGGGTGCCACTCAAGGTAGCTACGCCACTGGGTGGGGACTATGTATGGGCCTATTTAGCTGATTTAATCCATTATTTTTTTTTGTTACACATGCTTATAGCTAGTGCAGGTAGGCTAAGTTGTGATGAACATAATCGTTATGAATAGATGACAATGTTGGGAAGTGCAGAGTCAACCTACTTGACTCCATTTCTTGCATATGTTAATTAGATTTATCAGGAAAATACGTTTTTATTCGCTTGTTTCAGGTGAGGCAATGAACCAGTTCCTAAACAACAACTCCGAGGAGATCATCAGAGAAATGAAACCGGCAGCGACCGCTTCGATAGCCAGGCACTTCAAGGGCTTCTTGAACGCTGCGTTTGTAAAACTGCCTCTGCAATTGTGGCTACCAGACGCTTAAAACATCGACGAATCCATCGTGCACCACAACTCGGCGGGTCAAGGTTCACAACATAAAATCCAAGATCAGCTGCGGAGCTTGTTGTTGGGTTTCTGCTTTACACCAACGTCTGACCATAATACTCCGTATGTAATAAGGATATCACAATCCCTTATCTTTGGAGCAAATCAGCCAGTTGGTGCAAAAATGCAACTGTATCGTTGTTACCCAGTATTAAACAAGTTAAGTTCGTGAAATCAACGAAATGGAGAAAATAATGTTTCCCGATTTTGAGAAAAGGGACTGCAAAACATTTTTTCTCTCGTAGTCAATAGTTAATCGACCCCTTTCCCTCCTCACAAATAGAAACTTATCAGTTTCAGAGTTGCCTAGCTAAATGTCAGTCACTGTTTTTCTACTTTCTCATTATTTCTACTCTTTTACTTGAAGTAGTATGTCTCGTTTACGCTAATTTGGTTTTTAAGACATATCATTATGATAATCATGGTGAAATGGGCTACACAGAACGTGCTTCAAAAAATCTCAAAGCCGAAACTAGTGAGGGGCTGCTTCATCATCACGAATATCAGCTATAGAATAACCAGCCAAGCATTTTTTAAAATGTTCAGCGTGACATTTTCCTGGACTCGTTACGAATTTCTGAAATAATTTTTAGTATACTTAGATTTGCACCACCAGGTTTCTGGCTTCTTTTCAATTGGACTCTGGGCGTAGTCTAGAGCACTGAAGCACTCGTAGCGGTCCACGTCGTTCAAAAATTTGCTGGCATAAGGCGCTAGTGTTTCCGTTTTTGCTGAATTTTTTTTCTATACAATTCAAACAAAAGGTGTGAAAACTGTAAATTCGTTTAAAAATAAACTAAAAAAATATCTATACACGGATAGGGTTTTGTTGTATGGACAAGATGGAAGAACCTTTATATACAGCGTGTCCTGCAAGGTAATTGACATAGTGAAATGGTAGGTAGTATATTACGAATAGAAAATGAAATAGTTCTAAATTCATTTTTTATGGATATACAAGGTGATTTATGCTAAATATGTTAATAATGTATTTGTTTGCTACACATTCGTTAAGTCGTCGAGGCATTGATTGGATTAGGTGATTGTTGTCTTCTTGGTGTATTGTATCCCATGCCATCTAAATTTGATTTCGTAGGGCCTCCAAGGGGTGAATTTTTCAATCTCCTTTCCATGACCCATACATGTTGGATGGGGGAAGGATCTGGAGATCGAGGAGGCCACTGAAGCAGAGTTACTCGGGACGCTTCTAAAAAGTCTAAACTAACACGTTCAACATGAGGTCGTGCATTGTCCTGCTGAAAAAGTGGATCTTGCAATGTTTCCGTAAAGGAAAGCAGATGTTGTAAAGCTTCGTGGATATAGGGCAGTCATTTCCTTCGCGACCTGGTGCCGTAAGCAATGGCACCCCATACCATAACACCCACAGTGCGATGAATATACCGTTCGATGGAATATTGGACGTGTTCCGAGTTCACCACGGATCTTAGTTACTCTTGCAACGGCCATGGTGTGCAAAAACAGAATCTGAAAACATCGTTGAACACGGCTGAGTTCCATTCCTTTTCCATTCAAGTATCTCTCTACTCATCCATACCAATCGTTGTCGACCATGTTGTGGGTTCAGTGTGAAAACAGTCCAAAAGACCTTATTCGGCGATAAACTATCCTCATTCTGATTTCCCTTCCGACAACATCAAACCACTAGTTCGCAACTACCACCTTGTTGTGGAAAATCGATCTCTGAGTGATAGATGTCTCACATAACGATGCTGTCGCTCTGTAATCAGTCTTTCACGTCCAGTACCTCTAACTCGTCGATTTCGGACTTCTTGGAACCACGCTCGACAACATCTCATTACAGTAGCTTCGTTTCGATTCACCCGATTAGCGATTTCTCTAAAAGAAAATCCTGCTTCATGTAATCGGATTATACGACCCTTCTCATACTCGGCAGGTTGAGGGAAATTAGTGCGTCTGCAAACTCTAGGCATGATAATGCAATGAATAAACAATAAAACAAATCGAACCGATACAGAAAGATCACTGAATATTTAGTAAACATGTTCATATTGCTCGGATCCTGATATGACAAAAAAACATTTTATCGGCGTATACTTCCATGATAGCAAATATTTTTAGTAGTTTTTATAAAATTCAATTAATAATTCTGGGTGTTGCATTTTATATGTCACTCAGTATATAAGTATAAGCCCGCCAAATCTTTATTATCACATATTTCACGCACTGTTGAATCGATTTTGATGAAATCTTAAACAATAATAAAGTTACCTAGGAGTTACTAGTTACTTAAGTCTAGTCAAGCGGTAAAAATATCCAGGGGCTGATTCGATTGTTTTAAATTTTTTGCATTTTCCAAAATCAAAACCTTTTAAGCTGGATATTGAAGTGTTTGAATTGAAATAACGTAGTTTTGGGACCTCAAAATTCCAGGGTTGGAGTCAGATTCCTTTATTTGTTTACATTTTATTAAGTCCTATACGCTCTATTTATTATCATTTCAATGATAAAAGATTACAATATGATATAAATAGAATATAATTTACAATCACAGCAACAATTTTTTAGTGAGATAATTCTATCAAGTGTTTCTGCTTCGAAGCGATTTGGTATCCAATATACAAATGCACTGAATTTGACTTTCCAGATGAACTACAATAATCAGAAAAATGTAGACAAACCTAATGTACCCGTCCGAACTTAGCATTTTTAGCATAGTTACCCTTAACATGCTTTCACCAAAATCCTACATCAGATTAAGCTACATAATGCACACATAGGTGAATCACACAAGAAAATGTCAAGGTCAGATCTACATGTAATATCTTTGTAAAATTTTAAGTTAATTTCAACAAAATCTGGAAGGTCAAATTTAATGAATTTGCATACTGAATGCCGTTTCCCTTTTGAGTAAACTCCTGTTGCTGTCACTTGATAAAATTAAATAATTAAAAAGCCTATCGAAAAAAAAAATAGATAGCGTGCGTAATATTGTCCTTTATTTATGTCACCCATTTATTGTTCTTTCTTCTGCAAAATAACAATCAGTTACAGGGCTTTGCACTTATTAAAGTACAAACAAATGAAAGAACTGCATCTGGCCCTGGAATTTTGAGCACTCGAAACATCTTCAGCTCAATTCTAAGCACTATTTTGTGAAATTTTGATGAATTCGAGTTTGTAGCATTTAAGATTTTGAGTTTAAAAGTTAGAAATAAGATATTGAAATAAATAAAGGTGTTTAGCTAAAGACCATCATAAGCGCAATCAATCTGTACTGCTAAATAATAAGCACCTCTCATTGGCTTTTTTGCTAAAGCCCAAAATACTTAAGAAAACAGAGTATGGTCCTTACCATATTTACCTTACAGTTCTTTCATTATTGCGCAAAATATCAAAATTGGTTGAATAGTGTGATACATATTAACAATTTTGGGTTCAGGGTAAGTCTCCATACTATCTGTAAATTTGGACAAGCACACAAAGGACCACAGGTAATATGCACTGGTATTTCACATTCCAAGGGGTTTTTTGGTAAGTAACTGCAACTAACAGTTTTAAAATAATAGTCTTTACAAACGTCCAGTTTGATGTGTCGGAACGAAGTGTCACTCACATAACGTATATGTACCTACGATGATAGATCAATCAAAATACATTACACTACCTACCATTTCGCTACGTCCATTTTCTCACAGAACACACCTTCTACTGAGTGGATAAATGTATGGACCTTGTAGTTTCGACAGCCAAAAGTTACTCCTAGAAAAAATGCTCTTGCCAATACTAAATCATGGTTGTACCAAGATGGATGGATGAGGCAGGAAAAATATAAACAGCGCCATCGATTTTTTTTAAATATCAACCTCATATTTTGAATAAGAAATTTAACACCTTTGGATATTTTTGTCAAACACCTTTTTTGGAAAAAAACGGTTTGAGCATATCAAAGTTAGTAAGGTTTGACATTACAAACCACATAAAGCCCTTCAAAGCAGTAATAGTACCTCACTTCTACGATTTGATGATAATAATCACTGGCATAAAAATTCACAACGCTATGTACTTCTTCTGAGGCCTTTGTTTAGGAGCTTTTCGTACTATATTTCGGTATATTTCATGCTCTACAAATAGTGTGAGTGACTTTTAGATCACCCTGTAGAAAAACGAATTGTTATACACAGTTGTGTTTTCAGGAATCTTGCGATTTCATAAACAGCTCAGCAGCTATATTCATACCAATCATTCATCACTCTTCATATGATTGCAATTTTTCATTTCACTCTATCACAATGAATTGGTACAATCACGAAGAGGCTTTCAATGTGTTTACCAAAGCAATGATAATGCATCGCCTAGTGTCATCTTTTGTATTACATCACATGGATCTCACTGGAAATGATTTCACTTAATACATAGAAAGTAATTCTTTAAAATCAAATTGGTCATATTTTCAAAAAACCCTTGAAATGTTCCGACACTGACCCTGGGAGAGGTATTGTAAAAACCATAAATCTCACAAGTCGGTTCTGCTAAGACTAAACAAAGGTTTCAGCCACACGGGTTCAGTATCGGTAAAACATTATGGAAAGTTGGTCGATACAACTTTAAATTGAGAATGTATTCCCCATGCTGCACCGCCTTGTTCTTTTTCATAATAATCGCAAACAACATAGATATCAATCTTAAATTGAATAAAAATAGCAGTAATTGTTGGAAATAATTAATTTTGATCTTAATCTTAGGACCATGAGATAAAAATGGAGATAAAGCATGGACATAAGTTGAATAAAAGTAAAACTGTATGTGAAACATGAAAGAAATGCAATTTTTATTTATATAAGTTCTGAAGCATCCACATATTGATCCTTCGTAGAAAGTATATAGTCTTTTTCACGAGTACCCATTACGGTAGAATGATTAACTAGTACTATTTCAAAATTCCCAATATTGGCAAAGGACACGTAATTCTGACGGGTCTGGCAGTGCCTGGTAGACAGAGTCACATTGTGTTTTGGTTTCTTGTAAAAAAGTCATTTGCATACAAAAAACAAAACGCAAACAAGTCTTACTAGATTTACACCCGATTCATTGTTGCCAACGTTGCACACCTACACAAAAATGTAACTTTCTGATCACCTGTTCACCTCAATAGACGTCAAAACATGATGGATACTCGTGAAATAGAGTTTATATACGCATAACAACGCAATATTTTAAAAATTCAAGAGAAGAGAAACAAAAAATATGTATTCAACCGTCAAACATGAAACAAATAATTTTTCCCATATATACAAAGAACTATATAAGGTATTGATAAAATTGCTTCAAGAGAAAGTTGTAGATAATGGTAATGCCTTCAAAATGTTATATGTGTATCGGTCAATTTCCAAATACATTATTTAAGGAAAAGTGCACACCAGAAAACAACGAAGTAGAAACCACAATTCAAATGTTTTGTAGTGAACTCCACATCTACAAAAAACAAAGTTAATGGTCACTCTCTTCAAGATGTCCAGCGCCGTAGCTGCTGGAACAGTTTAGTCATTTGGGGTATAATTTTAAAGGTCTTTCCATCATCTAAAGCTTTTCTGTATGCAACTCAAGTGATTCTAAGTGTATTGATATGCGTATTTTTTTTCTAGACAGGATGCATTTCTAGGGAGTTAGTCTGACCTACAATGCTGGAAACGTTGCTAATGTTTTTTTTTTCGCTTATACGCACCAAATAACCTCCCGTACTTTGTATGGGCACAAACTGGTTGTCATTCAAACATTTCTGCTGGTACACCTCTGGATACAGTCCTCGGATGTTAGTTCCTTTTAGAGCGATTATGTAAATATCATATAATTTCTCAAAGATGAATCCGTTAAAAAAAATAAAGTCAGAAAGTCCTTTTATACCTTCATTCCCTGTGTTTTAATCGTTACAAAAAATATATGTGATACGCTGTTACATTTACAGCTTATGAGCAGAAAGTGTTTAAAGCTGTCGTTCTATACCTGATTTGTCATTTCTAAACGAAACATGACGTTGTAAATATAACTTTAATATACTGTTATAGTTTCTTAGTTTATAAGTAAATTTAAGAAACTCCCTCTATACAAGCACATGTTTTATTATTTTTCTACCATAAAATGTGATGAATATTGAAACTTTATGGATAAATAAATGAAATTTTATTTTATTTGCGCTGTCTTGATGCCTTTCCTATATGAGGGTTACTTGAACAATAAGGTTATATGAAACCTAAAAAATAATATTTTCCAGAACACCGCGGCTCCTATGAGGAACCCAATGTTCTTCAAAATAGTCTGCATTTTCTAGGTATTATGAAATTGTGCCAGCGCTCCTTCCAATCTTCGAAAATTTTCAATCTCGATCTTAGGGATAAAGATTAGCTCTCACCAATCCACATTTAATGTCATCTTTAAGGTTCTCCCTTATTTTGGAAAAGAGGAAGTCAAATGGAGCCAAGTCTGGCGGATATCGTTACGGGGCAAAAATTCATGCACAACCAATGAAGTGTGAGCAGGAACGAGTTTGGCTGAGGATCCTTGAAGGAAAGCTCTAATTGATGTTCTCCAACCTAATTAATGGGCCACGAGCTTTTTGCTTCCAGGTTTTTCCTTATGCTTCGGTATTGCATTCCAAATGCCAAAAGCATCAATTATACTTGAAAGAGGTCACCGTTGGGACCAAAACGTCGTACAAAGTAGAATTTTGAACATATATGTGGTTTGATGCGGCCAGACAGATATGGGCGATTGTGATGTCACTTTTTTCTAATTAGTTGTCTAAATACCATTTTGAAAATACAGCAGCATTCCATTCCCAAAACTCTATAGAAGTTATTAGATTGAGATTATGCGACAGAAGACCGACAAACAAACCAACGTCATAGAATTCCCAAAAAATCCACAATCACAAAATGCTTTCATTGCATATGGAGTTGGAGTTAAGTAAGGCTTGGATGATATACCCCGTAAAACCTGCGAAGCAATGCTTTCGATACAACTACGTTATCTGAATTCCTACATACTTTGAACAACAGCTGCTGCAACACCAAATATAAATAACAAACTTTATTTCTGAAGTAAAAATACTAACAGTCCAAAAATACATTTTGCAAGCAGCGCGGCAGTACCATGCTCGTCATTAGGATTTCTAGAATAGATTACAAAGCTGGAACGACCGGGATGGTACCAGAGACAAAACAGTGTCTTTAGATAAGCGCGTATTATGCTATTTTTGTTTACAACTTGCACTATCTTGATTTAATTACACTGGACGATTATCTAAATTTAAATCTGTTTCTTTTATCACTACCACATTTTCTATCTCTGAACATGAACTTTGAAATGTTAGCATAGCATTGGCGTTTCATATAAATTCAATTTGTGTAACAACAGTGACTCAAATAGAAATCCAAATCATTATGGTTTATGTTGAACAAAGTTCCACGAGCGTTGATATAAGGCATAAAAATAATGCAAATTAGTCATATTTGTGTCGCGCAAACTATCAGTGATGTCAGAATTTTGGAAACCTATGGGCACATTCATTCTCAGTGCTGATTTCTATAACATACCAGATGTATCATAAAATATTTGGAAATGTTAAAGTTAGTACTGCAACATTAATCGATCCAGTATTTTTATATAATCCTCCAGCATGCAGTTATTGCTTTGACAGTTTCAATAATAAATTATCATTACTTGCTAAACAAAATTGCGTAGGACTTGACAATTTATCCCTTTCAGTTTTCGACAGTTACCTTCAGTAAAGAAAGCAGTGTGTTTTTGTCAACCAAGGAATGTCTCCAGTGGCAATAATCCTCCCCAGGTGTAAATCAGGGCTCTGCTGCTCGTCATATACGAGTATACCTTCGTGTTAAGCAAAAATATTGATAGTTCCCGTGTCCAGTATTTCGCAGGTTATACGCAGTTGCTTCATTATTTCAACCGAGATAATGTCAATGATAATAATTAAATTTTACAAAACGATGTTAGTAGATTAATTAAATACCCTTCAGATCATAATCTACTTATTCATCCACAAAAAGATAAGATGTTAATATTTTGCGCTCAAAGGAAAAAAGTCAATGTAAGCCCTTGAACACTCAGTTAAATAACCGAATCTTGCAATTTTGTGATTCTGCAAAAATTACTGGTGTTCTTTTTGATGCAAAATTAAGGTTTATTGAGCATGTTAAAAGTCTTTCACAGGAAACCTACTTAAGGTTACGAACCCTTATAGCAAACAGGTAGTTATTAAACTTTAAATTGCGTAAAAAACTATGTGAAGCGTTGGTCATATATACATTAAATTCTTGTATTATTTTATGCTACTCGTGTTTAGACAATTTCACCAAAAACGTTGTTCAAGTTTTTCAAAACAATTGTATACGTTTTATCTTTGGGTTATGTAAATTTGATCATGTATCAGCGAAATATCCTGCTCTAAATCGGTAAAAATTAATGACTTTGTCAAGTATCACTACTCAGTTTTGTTCACAAATTACTTATCACTACTAAACCCTCTCACTTGAGGGTGGAAATTTCATTTAATAATGATGTTCACTGTAGAACTCCCAGAGAAAAGAATACACGCAGTTTTTCATACAATGTTGCTATTATTCATAATGACATTCCTAAAGTGTATGAAGAATGTTCGTTACCTGTCTTTCGACAAAAAGTTGAAACATTATTACTCAACCCGCCAAACATATAATTTACGTAAACAAGTATTTCTTTTTTCATCCCTTGTTTTAGTCAGGTTAATATTTTTTGGTGTACCGGGGTTTGGAAAGTATTCTTCTTTTTCTATTTTTTACTTTCAACGTAACTAACCAAATCTGTTTGTGTGCTGTTGTGAACATCTGCTAGCGACTGGTTAAGTGTAAGAGTAGCAGCATACTAAACTTCGCCATATAAGTGTGACATTTAGATATTCTACAATGTAATTATAGATAAATAAAGACGTCTATTATTATTATTATTATTATTATATTTTGAATAGTACTCCTACTGTCAACAATTTTTCAAGCAGCTTGCGGGATTCCTAGCACTTATTAAGAGTGAACGCTATACTGAGAAAAGCTAGTTAAGTAAACCGATAACAAAAAACATTTTTCATTGGGGATAATAAATGGTATTTGAGCATTACGTGAAGCAGTGTTGCGTCTTAACGAAACACACAGCTAAATTGAATTCAAAGTTTAGTTTGTATGTACTAGTTTTAGATGCACTTTCCGTAATAGCTTGTTGACTTGTTTCAAGAATTGATCAAATACTGAAAAGTTAAAATTCAAAATTGCTTCAACATGCTACGCACAAACTTCTTAGCGTACGATACCCTGGAGTTTGTATATGCAAAGATGTTGTCTCTATATAATACATATTCAGTGAGATGACAATTTATGGATGAAGCATTCGACAAAAAATGGTGCCAAGTGGACTGACTTTATACTTCCCAGGCCTTCGAACTGAATTCTAGTAAACTTTGTGTTCTTCATTCAAAAAAAGTTCTCAGTTCGCACCAGGTAGTCTCATTTCTTGGAGCTCTGGTTTGTCCGCAATGTTTGATACGTACTTATATACTATATAATGTTAGCTGCGTAGAGATAACGGGGTAGTAGTGTATCAATATACTAACATAAAAAATTGCGATACATTCTACAACCACCCCTCCTCCAATTTTTCACCCAAAAATGATCGGGATCATCTGAAACATCAAGAAACGAAGTTTGTGCGATTTCTATTTTTTTTTGTTATCAGCATTTTGCTCCGCCGCCACTGGAAAAAATTCAAAAACTACGAAGTTTTTTCGTCTTTAACGTAGTAGTAACCTCGTGTAAAAATTTCATCTATATTCGAGCAGTACTTTCCAAGTTACAGACGGATCAGGAATTATCAGACAGGCAAACTGACAGAGACAATTTCTCGCGATTACAATACTTTCTCACCGGAAAGCGTGAATCGACAAAAAGAACCGTCATCTAGTTGCGACACCCACTACCAGTGACTGGCTTTGTATGATCTGTTCTATGATTATGTAGATCAAATAATCTTATTTTCAGAATGTGAGCCGCTGAAGGTCTTCCATGCGAGCTTTCATATGAGAAATACTCGTACATAGAATGCTCAAAGATTCATAAATACAAACGCCAGTGAATTATGACATGTATCGCTTATTTTTAAGGCTTCGTCAAACATTAACATTCTAGAGTAGTTCTCCAAATTTCCTGATAATTACGAAATTCTTGCACAAATCTACATACTAAATCTTGTATGTCATCTTGGGCTAAGTCAGATTTCATACAGTCAGTGGATTCTCTGAATAAAGGGTGTAAAATTCGTCATACTTCATCACAATTTCTATTTCTATACTTTTACGAAAAAGTCATTAAAAAAAATTGTTTTAATATATTGATTAGCTTTGCAACAAGCTAATAATTCACGCTCTACAAGAGAACGTGTTCAATATTAGCAAGATTTGTTGGCAAATATGGTTGGCCGAGTTGCTGCGACAAAGACCCACGTTACTTGTAACAAGTAAATACCTTACTAGACTCGATTAAGCTAGCACACTTTCGGAAATACAATTAGTTCACTTACAAACTGTTTAATAACAGCAAATATATTAATTTCAGACAAACGATTTTGCTTTTGAGAAGTAATAAGTGCAGTGGTTCTATATAGTTTAGTTGGCATAATCAAAAATCAGCTTTTCGCGAAAATGTTGCCGAAATTTGTCAACCAAATACTGTAGATCGCAAATTGTAAATGACTATAGTTTGAGATTATAGACTCTACTTCTTGCGCTAGGCGAGTGAAGAAACAGGTCCTTACTGATCACAGGATCGTGAAGATATTCAATACTATTTTGCAGATTTTTAAATCTTTTTTTTATCATCGCGTGACACCAGTAACTAATAACTACTGTCCTGACTGAAACGAGTATTTATTGTGTGGCATATACTGCTATATATTTAGAAATTCTATGCAAAGATGACATACGTCAGCCATTTTTTTTTTAGAGAAATTTTTGGAAAGCTCGTGTTGTTTTATGAGATCACGTCATTTTTGGGTTAATGTCCAAATATGCACCCAGTTCTTTTCGGTGTATCAGAATCAGTATTAACTCTTTTCACTTATCTTGATACTGTAATGTAGTCAAATCCCA